CCTAGTATTTCCCTTATCCCCCCCCCCCCCCCCCTTTTTTTTTCTTTCTCCCTCCTGGAGTGCGTACTCCCTTTATCTTACCACTTATCAAATCTCTCATGCACTTGTTTTCTTTTTCCTTGCTTCTCTTTTTGGAGAGCATACTAGAAAAGATACAATTTACCTTTTGCATGTTTGTTTCGTTTCGTTATCAGAATGCTACAATTTACTTTTTCTTAAGTATTGCACTCTATTTGCTAATCTACCTATATTTGCGTTTTCATAGACCCCTTCCACCCTACTGCTCCCCCAATTTATGGATCCACCCTTTTGAACAACATATGGCTTAATTGTTCTTCAATATTTATATGCTATTTTTGGAAAATGTTACTATGATGTTTATCCTCCTGTCTTATATTCATTTTATGTACGACTGCTGGGCGGCAAGTAGTTAAACGGCCGGATGGTTGCTTTAAAACGTGTGAAAACGACGATTGCGAAGCACATGCTACATATCACCATGATTGTCTGATGGCCCTAAAATTATTGCTAACACTCTTATCACCGTTAGCACTAAACGGATGAGTGGTAAAAGCTTTTAAAGCGTCGCACATAGCCAAATTTGGGTGTGGTAGGTTTTTGCGAATTCGCGGGAGGACACAATTTTAAGGCTTGACATATTTGGTGTCTATTCGCCCTGACGTGACCTCGTCGTTTATAATTTGCCAAAAAATTGGATAATAAATGTTTCATAACATAAGAGAAGTACAGTGTTGCATGAATGAATAAATGTCAAAGTACTGCAGCGCTAAATACTGAAAATTGGTCTGGACAGGAAGGGGGTTTAACATTCCGTGTAATGGATCCCGGGGACGCCGCCGTTCCGACTCACGGAACCGAGTGGAAGCTCCACCCCCGGGCCGACGACGTCATACGAGACCGCCTCCGGCCTCGTCATAAGCCTCAATCTCCCACCTGTCTGGCGTTCCAGCAACCCTATGCGGACGCCAGACGAGTGCCGGTCTCACTGCAGCAACCTGCCACAGCTTCAACCACTCGACAGCCGAACCCCAGCTGACAGGCTACCTCGGGATCTCTGCGCTAGCGTTACCAGCATTATTCCCACTCAACCCTCCAGACTCCAAAACCGCAAGTATTCCCCTCTGGGTTGCTACCCACAGGGAATTCAATTGCCTACTATAACTGCCTTGGACTGATTTATACTGTGGCATTGAAGATAAGGGAAGCCTGCCCTCTGCTGGTGACTAAAGATATTGTCTAAACTACTAAAATTACACTGATATCGTGGAACACTTAATTCATACCTATCTTGATGAACTGTGATACTGTGTGTTTAACATATGTGAAGTGAACATATAAAGTTACACAAACAACAGGTTCTGGGGATACACCAGACTGGGAGAACCAAGTACTGGGGTTGTGTGAATTGAACATAACTGCCACAGAAGTGCATTCCAGTGTGAAGTAACATTAGTGAAGCCATTCACTCCCACCATTGGCCTAGAGACCACCCCCTATTCTGCTACATACCTTAATAGAAACTGTTGTAGGAGTAGTAAGCTTAGTTAGGTTGGAAGATAGACCGATGATGCACTGAGCTTGCTTGGCAATATTAAACCTTGCCATCACGAACTCCTGCGCTAGAGCACGTGACGGTTAACGTGTCTCCGCAGCTGAGCTCCATCTTCCTATTCAAACAGATTATTACACTCCGGTCTTCAAGCGGTTAAACACAATTATCAAAAAAAAGATTAAAAAGACTTGTCCATTCCCTTTTAACAAAATGATGTTAGAAGAGTTTCAGCAAAGTTTACTTTTTTTAGTATGAACAGTATTTGATTGTTTGCCAAGTGTTCACTGGGGAACAGCTTCTGAACTGCTGCCTTTTAGGAATTTAATCTCTTTCTAGTATCTAAACCCCTGCACCCTTTCATGAAGGGTCAGGTATTGGTACTGAGAGACAAGTTCTCTAGCCCAGATGTCCCTAACCATCTGAGCAGACCTTTTGTCATGGGGAGCAGTATTCCTTCCTGCTTTTCTGACTTAGACCATGTTCTCTTGGAACTTGGGCTTCAATAGCCATGATGTTTGTCAGTGGCTGTCATATTCACCATGCTCCAGGATTACAAGCTTTCGTCCTACCAAATATAACATGGCACCTGGAAGGCTTTCTTCAAATGGTGCGAGGTCTACAATTTTTTAATCCTAGGACCTTTCATTGCTGCTCAGGTTCTTTGTTTTCTGCAGTCTGACATGGTTCAGTGCCAAGTACTACATAGAGTCAACTTCTGTCCCTTGTAATTTTGTTTTAATGGCTTTTCTCTACCCACTACATTGCACTTCTCTCCAAGGTGTTACCAACATTCCCCTCTTTGGTGCTCTTTGTGCTTCATGATCCTCCCTTCATGATCCTCCCTTTGAGTCCTTATGAGAAGATCATTCTATGACTTTTCCCTCGGAAGTTGCCTTTCCTTACTGCCATTATTTGAGGTGCTGGCTGCTCTATTCTACCAGTCATGCTTTCTTATTCTTCACATGGAGGAAGGACATGGTTGTTTTATGAGACCTTTATCTAGACCTTTACTTTCAAAAGTTGAATCCTTTTTTCCATATTAATTAGGATATTTTGTGCTACCCTACTTCTGTCTACTTTTAATCCTAAATAGTTTGCCCTCCACTTTCTGGATGTAGTGCAGGCAGTCAAATCTGTAAGATGGGCTCATCCATTGTCATTCTAGAGGGCCCTCTGATTGCAACTATTGTACAATGAATACACTAGATTTGCAGGCTTATTCTTTCAAGGGTTGCAGA